ACATGTTTTGTTCACCATAGTGAACCACTAAGTTGATATGGTGAGTGCAGACAGTAACAGGTGGCCACACACAACTGATGCTCCCTACCTAATTCAAGGCCAGATGCACTAACATTCCTCCTTCAAGTATACTGTTTGTGGTGTTATTATACTATATACACACATTATATATACAAATATCTACATGTTTTATTCACCATAACTGTTCAACTAAGCTGGTTTAGTGCCCAAAGAGTATAGAGGTCACCCTTACACAGCATGACAAGTCATGCAGATAATGCCACCTCCCTCACCAAAATGGCTTCTCCCAACACTTCTTTTGGTGTTATTAAACTATATTATATATATATATATATATATATATATATATATATATATATATATATATATATATATATATATATATATATATATATATATATATATATATTAGTATATTTTGGTAGCAGTCTTTCCTGTAGACATATTTTATTAAATATGACCGAAAAAGTAAGATTAATAATTCTAACACGAATTTTCTCAATCTTTCGTACATTATGCTTCACTGTTGGAGGTAAATCAAAAATCACTTCTCCAAAATTCATTTTTATTTCTAGTCTGACGCGACACGGGCGCGTTTCGTAAAACTTATTACATTTTCAAAGACTTCACAAATACACAACTGATTAGAACTTGCATTTCCCTGATTTTATATCTACTTTTGAGTGAGGTGGGAAGGGTGATGTGGCATTACATTTGAGTGAGGTGGGAAGGATGATGTGGCATTAGAGGATATTAATAGGGTATTAAAAGTATCAACACAAGACAGAACACGAAACAATGGATATTGAATAGAAGTGTTTGTAGAAAGCCTATTGGTCCATATTTCTTGATGCTTCTATATTGGAGCGGAGTCTTGAGGTGGGTAGAATATAGTTGTGCAATAATTGGCTGTTGATTGCTGGTGTTGACTTCTTGATGTGTAGTGCCTCGCAAACGTCAAGCCGCCTGCTATCGCTGTATCTATCGATGATTTCTGTGTTGTTTACTAGGATTTCTCTGGCGATGGTTTGGTTATGGGAAGAGATTATATGTTCCTTAATGGAGCCCTGTTGTTTATGCATCGTTAAACGCCTAGAAAGAGATGTTGTTGTCTTGCCTATATACTGGGTTTTTTGGAGCTTACAGTCCCCAAGTGGGCATTTGAAGGCATAGACGACGTTAGTCTCTTTTAAAGCGTTCTGTTTCGTGTCTGGAGAGTTTCTCATGAGTAGGCTGGCCGTTTTTCTGGTTTTATAGTAAATCGTCAGTTGTATCCTCTGATTTTTGTCTGTAGGGATAACGTTTCTATTACAATATCTTTCAGGACCCTTTCCTCTGTTTTATGAGCTGTGGAAAAGAAGTTCCTGTAAAATAGTCTAATAGGGGGTATAGGTGTTGTGTTAGTTGTCTCTTCAGAGGTTGCATGGCTTTTCACTTTCCTTCTTATGATGTCTTCGATGAAACCATTGGAGAAGCCGTTATTGACTAGAACCTGCCTTACCCTACAGAGTTCTTCGTCGACTTGCTTCCATTCTGAGCTGTGGCTGAGAGCACGGTCGACGTATGCGTTAACAACACTCCTCTTGTACCTGTCAGGGCAGTCGCTGTTGGCATTTAGGCACATTCCTATGTTTGTTTCCTTTGTGTAGACTGCAGTGTGGAAACCTCCGCCCTTTTCCATGACTGTTACATCTAGAAAAGGCAGCTTCCCATCCTTTTCCGTCTCGTAAGTGAAACGCAGCACGGAACTCTGCTCAAATGCCTCCTTCAGCTCCTGCAGATGTCTGACATCAGGTACCTGTGTAAAAATGTCGTCAACATACCTGCAGTATATGGCCGGTTTCAAGTTCATGTCGACTAAGACTTTTTGCTCGATGGTACCCATGTAGAAGTTTGCAAACAGGACACCTAGGGGAGAACCCATAGCGACCCCATCTACTTGCTTATACATATGCCCATCCGGGCTCAAGAAGGGTGCCTCTTTAGTACAAGCTTGGAGTAGTTTCCTCAGAATACTTTCTGGCATGTCAAGAGGAGTACAGGCTGGATCACGATACACTCTGTCTGTTGGACGACATATTCGACCTCGAGACACAAAAGAAGGTCACTACCAAAGATACCTTACAAGCAGAACTTATTGCAGAAGGAGGAAAGAATCGAGGCAACTACAGAAGCACCATACTGTCCCCCGAGCTTAGAGCGGCAGCTAAAAGCCTTCGCGAGAACAAGGAGATAGTTGTCAGGAGAGGTGACAAGTCGCCAATATATGTCATTCTTAAAAAAGACGAATATCTGGCGAAAATGAACATCATACTCTCTGACCAAACTAAGTTCCAAAGGGTAACGAAGGACACTACAGCCGAATTAAAAGCAAAGGTCAACAAACTGATCGAAACTGTGAACGCCAAGAAATCCGGACTCCACCTGCCAAAGATCATTGGGGAATATAAACCTGGATATGCGTATGGAAATGTCAAGACGCACAAGCCTGGAAACCCACTTCGGCCAATCATTAGCCAGATACCCACACCCACGTACAGATTGGCAAAGCGACTCAACGGCCTGCTGACTCCTTATGTTCCTTGCGCCTTCAGCCTGAAGTCTCCAAAGGAATTTGTGGACTTACTGCGGGGCGCACGGGCCACAGGGATAAGAGCCTCGTTGGACGTAGAATCGCTGTTTACCAACGTACCTGTGGACGAGACAATCGGAATGATAGCCGACAGAGTGTATCGTGATCCAGCCTGTACTCCTCTTGACATGCCAGAAAGTATTCTGAGGAAACTACTCCAAGCTTGTACTAAAGAGGCACCCTTCTTGAGCCCGGATGGGCATATGTATAAGCAAGTAGATGGGGTCGCTATGGGTTCTCCCCTAGGTGTCCTGTTTGCAAACTTCTACATGGGTACCATCGAGCAAAAAGTCTTAGTCGACATGAACTTGAAACCGGCCATATACTGCAGGTATGTTGACGACATTTTTACACAGGTACCTGATGTCAGACATCTGCAGGAGCTGAAGGAGGCATTTGAGCAGAGTTCCGTGCTGCGTTTCACTTACGAGACGGAAAAGGATGGGAAGCTGCCTTTTCTAGATGTAACAGTCATGGAAAAGGGCGGAGGTTTCCACACTGCAGTCTACACAAAGGAAACAAACATAGGAATGTGCCTAAATGCCAACAGCGACTGCCCTGACAGGTACAAGAGGAGTGTTGTTAACGCATACGTCGACCGTGCTCTCAGCCACAGCTCAGAATGGAAGCAAGTCGACGAAGAACTCTGTAGGGTAAGGCAGGTTCTAGTCAATAACGGCTTCTCCAATGGTTTCATCGAAGACATCATAAGAAGGAAAGTGAAAAGCCATGCAACCTCTGAAGAGACAACTAACACAACACCTATACCCCCTATTAGACTATTTTACAGGAACTTCTTTTCCACAGCTCATAAAACAGAGGAAAGGGTCCTGAAAGATATTGTTAATAGAAACGTTATCCCTACAGACAAAAATCAGAGGATACAACTGACGATTTACTATAAAACCAGAAAAACGGCCAGCCTACTCATGAGAAACTCTCCAGACACGAAACAGAACGCTTTAAAAGAGACTAACGTCGTCTATGCCTTCAAATGCCCACTTGGGGACTGTAAGCTCCAAAAAACCCAGTATATAGGCAAGACAACAACATCTCTTTCTAGGCGTTTAACGATGCATAAACAACAGGGCTCCATTAAGGAACATATAATCTCTTCCCATAACCAAACCATCGCCAGAGAAATCCTAGTAAACAACACAGAAATCATCGATAGATACAGCGATAGCAGGCGGCTTGACGTTTGCGAGGCACTACACATCAAGAAGTCAACACCAGCAATCAACAGCCAATTATTGCACAACTATATTCTACCCACCTCAAGACTCCGCTCCAATATAGAAGCATCAAGAAATATGGACCAATAGGCTTTCTACAAACACTTCTATTCAATATCCATTGTTTCGTGTTCTGTCTTGTGTTGATACTTTTAATACCCTATTAATATCCTCTAATGCCACATCATCCTTCCCACCTCACTCAAATGTAATGCCACATCACCCTTCCCACCTCACTCAAAAGTAGATATAAAATCAGGGAAATGCAAGTTCTAATCAGTTGTGTATTTGTGAAGTCTTTGAAAATGTAATAAGTTTTACGAAACGCGCCCGTGTCGCGTCAGACTAGAAATAAAAATGAATTTTGGAGAAGTGATTTTTGATTTACCTCCAACAGTGAAGCATAATGTACGAAAGATTGAGAAAATTCGTGTTAGAATTATTAATCTTACTTTTTCGGTCATATTTAATAAAATATATATATATATATATATATATATATAAATATATATATATATATATACATTATATATATATATACACATTATATATATATATATATACACACATACACATTTATATATATGTATATGTATATATATGTATGTATACATTATATATATATATATATATATATATATATATATATATATATATATATATATATATATATATATATATAAATGTATATAAATGTATATATATATATATATATATATATATATATATATATATATATATATATATACACACATATATATAAATATCTACATTTGTGTTCACCATAGCAAACCACTAAGCTGGTTTGGTGAGTGCAGACAATAACAATTAAGTGGCCACACAGATTCGACAGACGATGCTACAGCCCTCCCACCCTCAACATTACTCCTCCCACAATATTACGCACAGCACAAATTATCACCACAATCCTGCTACTGTATTATCAGAATCCTTGTCATTTTTATCACAGTCAGGGTTTTTTTTGTAATACTATTATTGTTAAATAATACCAGTTACAAATATTTTTGACATTGTTAGGCAATGCTGTGGTCACAAGCTGAACAGCAGTGCCGTGAGCTCATGCCATGTGCGCCAGCCTTGGTGGCTCACTCAGTACTGTGGCTTTCACACCCGACAATGTTGCCCACGATTTGTTTTAAAAATGGCGTCTGTTTACAAGAGCCCTGAGAAAGCTGACGTGAACCCTGTGTAGCCGCGGGACTTTTAAATCTTGTGTGGTACTCCCAAACATCATATGATGCTCTGCGCAATTTGTTGACAGTTATTCAAAGCATCATATGCTTTGTGCAGTTTAAGGGTTAAATTTGAAGATTATTCAATTTTACATCTATAATTTTTCACCATTCTAAAAAGATTAGAAGAGTTATTATGAAAGCAATATATTTGATTAAGAAATTCTCAAAATACATTTAGAAAAATTTTCAAAATACATTTAGAAAAAATAAAAACTTATTTAAATCTACCCACAAGATCCTTTGGCATCATGATCATGCATGAAAGTCCATTTGAATAGTTTAAATTTTTTTAAAGGTATTAAAGGAGTATGTCTTGACTTAAAAAGCATCATCACTATTGTCCTCTGATACTGATAAGGGGGACACACGTCCACTTCCCTTGACACTTGTCCAAGTTGTCAAACTACTTCCTCCCATTCTCTTTTGGCTAGATTTTGGTCGAGCTGAAGGAGGACGAGTATAAGAATGACTAGCAGACACTCTTTCCAATGGTAAAGAAGTGTGTTCTAGCTGTTGTGTGCTAGCTGAGGCTGTTTTTAATGAGCCTGCATATACTAAACCTTGTTGCAATACCGGTCCTGCTCTTCCAGCTGCAGACATAAGAGTTAAACTGTCATCTTCACTCCCTGAGTCAATCAAAAGGGAGTCAACAGTGTCAGATTCATCTGATGACTCAACATTTTCACCAGTCATGTTTCCAAGCACTTGGTGGCCTGAAACGGTGCTTATAATTAGTGTTTAACAAATCTTTTTAAAGTAGTTTTTATAAACTAGGATCTATGAATACTTGTGATATACAATATTTAAAGTTGGGCTGTACATGCTGGTTAACATATGGCAAGTATGTTCATAATAAGGCTTATGTTATGAAAATTATCAAATTAAATCCTTTATTAAAGCACAACTAGGTTTTAATCATACTTGTTCTTATGATGTCATTGACACTGGATTTGGCAACTCCTGATACTGAGAACTCAGTCATAGCTGCCTCTCTACTTCTAGCAGTCATATCCTGTAAAAATAAATGTAAAATATATAGCATACATATTTATGCATATACAGAGGAACCTCGGTACTCGAACGGCTCCCATCTCGAATAATTTGGCTCTTGAATGCTGCATTCATGCTGTGTTCGTAGCCAACTGCTTGCTCAGTACTCAAACATAAACATGTTTAACAGACAAGTCTGTTTCCCAGTAGCTGTTGTTCAGTGCTCCCTACTAAACTTTTCTGTAAACTTGCTTATGTTTTCTTGGATATTTTTTATATTCTAATCACAAAGAAGTCACCATGGCGCCTAAGAAAGTTAGTGATAAGAGCTAAACAAAAAGAAAATTAGTTAGAACTACGATAAATGTGAAAAACCTGCGTTGTATGTAATTAAATGCCAATTTCTGGGTGAGACCTGGTGGCTCCCTGAAGCTACTACAGTATACTGATATAGTGCCACACTACAAAGTGCCATCAGTCGCTGAGTTCTTATTGGCCTACCAGGGACCACAAGCCAGAATCAGGACCTCTCAGGGAGAGGCAGGGATGATATATGAAAATTTTTATGTAAAATGTATTCATGTCAGCCACTACCAGGGGAAGACACCCAGAAAGTCATCGAAACATACAGACCACTGCTTGGCTAAAAACCAAATCGCAGCCTCAAAGCAGCCAAAAGATCAAACTCCCCCAACAATGTAACCAAATGATCAAAAATGTGTGAAACTAGTACAAGCTAGTTCACTCCACCTCCCCCCTTGTTTGGGTAAAGAGAGAGGCAGAACGGGTTAGCTGGCCACCACTAGTTCATATGATGATTTGAAACTACCCTAATGCCCTGGGAAGGGAGGATGTTACGGAGCCACCGGGGCTCATGCAGAAGTTGGCATTCCATTACATTCAACTCTGGTTTTTTGGGGGAGCTCAATGTGGCTCACTGAAACTATCTACCCACAGAGAGGAAAGAACAGCACCTACTCGGAATGAGGAAGCCCTGCAGGTATCAAAAGGAAAGAGACCAATGGTCACAAAACAAGATACAAGGCCACACAAGAAGCAAAGAATGGCTAAAATTGGCATACTGATGCACAGCATGGGCACAAGGGCATACCACAGGCTGGCTAAACCAAAGAACACTGTGGACGACCTGAGAAACATTAGCCCTGAACAGGGAACCAGGAAAACCAGAGCAAACCCCAAATAGTCCACCAAAACAGAACCAGTGGTATGAAGCCAGAGGAGTAAAACTACCACCAGACACAGCACATGATGCACTCCCCGGCCGAACCAACCAAACATCCACTACCAGAAAACCCAACCGGAAGCTAACCAGCTCATTCCCCACCAGAAAAGGAGGAGCCGACAGCAACCAAACAAGGAGCCCACAAGGGCCAAAAGAACAAAGGCCTTGGCACCAGAGGAGAGCAAGAAGCTTCCCCACCTGGCAACCGGAATCCAGAGAGAGCGTAAATAACGCTTATTGAAAATATACCCAGATCAAAGGAGTCATTGGACTCAGAGTGGACAAAAGAGAAAACCTGGTCAAGAGACCAGGCAGGCTCAGGCAGCGCATGAGCAGGCCAGAGGTGAAACAATGCATGAAAAAGCATGTGAAATAGGGCCGAAGAGGTAACGACCCCAAATGCAAGCCGAAGCAACTCCGCCAACGCAACATAGAAAAGGTGACAGCATGCGGCAATAGACGCTGAACAAGGTAAAGCCAAGGAAGGACAGAACAATCCAAAAACTGAGGAGCAAAGACAAAGGAACAGAAAATTGTGGAAGGCATGCCAAGACATCATAAACTATCATTGGGAGGAAGACTGCAGGTGAGACACCAATAAACTACTTGATCACCACAGAGATGGTGATCCACAAAAACAGCAGACATGAAGAATCAAGGAGAAGGCTGAACCAGAGAATTACGCCACCCCAGCCTGACCATCTGAAACTGTACAGCACGAGCTTGAAAGCCATACTCTAGAGTACAACTAACAAAACTAGTTCTTACTTTCTTATAAATAATGGTTGGGATATATATATATGTATACACTCCACAAAACATTTGGCCAACAATAAATCTTGTTTTACAGGGGACAAGAAATCAACCTTGGGGTATAATTTCCCAACTGGGTTTTATTGAGAAACAAAGGATTATTTTACACTGAATAAATATGGAGCACTCTGTTATGTTACAAGATTGTTGGGATTAACTACTGTGATGCACCGAGTTTATTGTGACATTTCCCCTGTGTGCATGAAATCAAGTGTTCCCCCCCAAAAATATTTTTGTTTGTAATATGATAAATTCCATTCCCTGAACATGTCTATGTAAAAATACATACCAAATTCTACTTACTTTGGCTGTGGGGATGTGGACAAGGTGCGCTGTGTCGTCATCAAGGGCTGGTTACCCGTGCATGAAGCTCCCAGAGGCGGTCGCGCGGGCCATTCAAGCACTGCGACCAGACCAAGCACTGTGGTCTGGTCAACATACTTCAGCCACGTTATTGTGACTCATCGCCTGCACTGCGAGTTGCCACAAATATATTTTAAATTATTTGTTCTATGTATTTCCAATGTGGTTTTATTACTTTTTTTTTATTCTATATGATGCATATTTGTGTCCATTATAATATGTATACAGCAGAACGTTCATAATGTTCTATGAAACTGTGATACAAGTGTCAGTAATGTGTCCACAATAAATGTTTTGTTGCAAGTTTCGTTCCAACTGACCGAGTTTTCTCAGTTGGCGCAGCACAGTGGTTAAAAGGGATACTTTTCTTCACTAATTCATCATGCTATTCTACACTTCCTTGATAAGCTATAAAGATAACATGTGCCAGGAAACCCGACACCATTTACTAATATTTAACCACTTAACTGTGCTAACCGAGTATTCTCGGTCGGTGGGAAACTGCGCAAACCGAGAAAACTCTTTTTGATTTTTCGTAACTCAATTCTAAATGTGTACGAGGTTGGTTGTGTACGAAATGGACTCTTAGGACCTCCAGTGAGAGGCAGCCATCTTGAAAAAAATTCCGAGAACACCCTAGGGCTGCTAGCTGGGTTAGTACTGAATGAGCAACCATGGGTGGCGCACGCGCCTCTGGCTCCCAAACACCTGTCTGACGCGGTGTTGAAAGATAATGCTCTGTTGGTGAAATTCAAACCTTATTGTTTGAAGAACATAAAGGTCATAATATTGGGGAAGTTAAGCGCAATAAGGACCTAACACAAAGGTCGGATGCAAGTGATACAGCACCTATGAGGACTATACAGCGAGTGTATCCAGTTGTAGCTCTGAGCGTCACCCTTGCAATCCTGTGATATCTACAATTTATTTAGATGACACATACTGTAGATGAATCGTTTTCTGCATTTAGTGATGATGCATCTGATACAAATAGCATAGATGAACAGTGTTAGCGGCTTCCATGGTGGTGTTTTCCATAGATATTTTCATCAATACCTGAATAACTGATGGACACTTTGGGGCTAGCTGAATCTCTTTCTGACTGACGGACACTCTTGAGGTAAGCTGAATCTCTTCCTGTGTGGGACCATACAAAGCGATCTTTTCAAAACTACCTTACAAATTGATCTTTTCCTACAATCTTTTCAATACTACCTTATGCTTTACAAGCTTGGCTACATACAACCTACAAGTACTAAAGCCAAGGGTGTACGTGAGTGCGATATTTGCAAGCACACGGAATGAAGAAACAGGAAGCAAAAATTTATCTGTACCTGGTGCGCTGAGAGCGAAGTCGCGCTGTGTACCATGGGCTACTTCGTTGATTATTACTCATTTCCGAAGTACTGAGTAATTACCTAAGTGTAGTTACAGGATGAGAGCTACGCTCGTGGTGTCCCGTCTTCCCAGCACTCTTTGTCATATAATGCTTTGAAACTACTCACGGTCTTGGCCTCCACCACCTTCTCACCTAACTTGTTCCAACCGTCTACCACTCTGTTTGCGAAAGTGAATTTTCTTATATTTCTTCGGCATCTGTGTTTAGGTAGTTTAAATCTATGACCCCTTGTTCTTAAAGTTCCAGGTCTCAGGAAATCTTCCCTATCGATTTTATCAATTCCTGTTATTATTTTGTATGTAGTGATCATATCACCTCTTCTTCTTCCGTCTTCTAGTTTTGGCATATTTAATGCCTCTAACCTCTCCTCGTAGCTCTTGCCCTTCAGTTCTGGGAGCCACTTAGTAGCATGTCTTTGCACTTTTTCCAGTTTGTTAATGTGCTTCTTAAGATATGGGCACCACACAACCGCTGCATATTCTAGCTTTGGCCTAACAAAAGTCATGAACAATTTCTTTAGTATATCGCCATCCATGTATTTAAAAGCAATTCTGAAGTTAGAAAGCGTGGCATAGGCTCCTCGCACAATATTCTTTATGTGGTCCTCAGATGATAGTTTTCTATCTAGAACCAAAAAAAAAGAGAGCCGAGGCAAAGCAAACCTGACCCCAAGGAGCCATAACCACAAAGGAGAAGAAAAACAGGAGAGCACCCTGTCCAAAGACCAGGACGGCACAGGCAGTGCATAAGCAGGCCTGAGGTGAAACAACGCACGAGACAGCCTGCGAAACAGCACAGAAGGAACATCGATAGCGAAAGCTAGCAGCAGAAGCCAAGGTGCCAGACCCAGGAACAGCCCCAAGCGCCTCTACATCCTCCGCAAGCCAACCCCATGACAGCCCCAGGAGGGAAAAGAAAACGCAGGACCAAAACCAAAATGCCACAAGCGTGCAAGTCCACCGCCACAAGCGCAGCCGACAGGGAAGGAACTCACATAAGGAGCCGCCCCGCACCAACATCCCGCAGAAGGGCAGGAGCGAAAAGACTCATTAAGAGGAGCAAAATCGCCCCCAAGAAAACGAGTAGTGCCGAGACAGCGTGAAGAGACGAGATATGCACAAAAGAACAAGAAGGCCAAACACCCAGAAGCCGCCGGGAATAGGACCCACAAGCCCGAGAAAGGACCGGAGGGAAGCTCAACCGA